TCAATGACCAACACAAAGATGGGGTGGTTCTCTCCGTCCCATATCTTATTTCATATGTGTACGAAACCCAAGGAAATACCGTCCATCATTCCGAAGGAGTCAATGATGCTTGTCTTACGTGACGCCATTCTTCCACAAACAGGTGTTGAACATGCAAATTGGCCACCGCAGGTGAATCCATCCAATCACAAAGCTCAAATGGGAGCAACATGTTTACCGGGAACAAACTTGGTAGCCAATCACCGTTACGCATTGCTCTATCGTCTGACGACATTGTTCAGGTTTGCGTCGTGTCTTTTATTAAAAAAAAACCAGCGCGCATTCTGATACAAATGCAGAACAATGACACCGTGAATATTTGGAAAGGGGTTAGTTTTCCCACGAAGAAATCTCTGTTGAAAACCGTAGATATGGTAAGGGCTGTGTTGACGTGGCTAAGGAGATGATAGCACTAGAAATGTGGGAAAAGATTGACAGAAAACAGCCACGTTGGATGTAGAAGCAAAGTCTTGCGCATCTGTATTTCGCTGTTCAGTGTTCAGGTAAGTTCTCATTCAGAATGTCCACGTCAAGTGCACTATTATGGAGACTCCATCAGCGCTATTTTGTCTGAACACCGGCGTGGCTGGTTGACCCATTTCATTCGAGAAAGACTGCAGCATTCTCGCTCCACCATGTCCACTTTGTTGTGTACAACGTATATGGAAAGTTTTGTAAATTTTCGAAGTAAAAAAAAGAACTATTTTTCAGTCCCAGATTCATGTCATTAATATTTCAACATTTTGGCAAGAGATCATAACTGATGAAAAAAGTGGAGGCAAGATATAACATTTTTCCTCAATGGAGTTTTAAAATGAGCACAGATACTCTATGGAAGTTGTACATGAGGCATTGGTGTAAATCTGTACCGAGGACTGGCTGTGGGTGACTTAAAGCCAATAACTGCCTGGGAGTGGAATTTTTTTAAAATGGATGGAGGATTGCTGGACACTTCTTGACACTAAGGGACGCTGTTCGTGATACAGGAGCACATTTTACGTTTATTAACAACCCTCAACCTTACACCAAGATCGCATATTTAAAGCTTTTTTACTTTTGTCCTTTCTATTTCAGTACTAATACTGAATACATTTTGGCTGTCGGGAAGTTCGAAAATACCTCAAACTTCCACCTTTTTTCTCACAACGATAAAGTGGGAATAGCTCTATTGGATGATCGAATAGCCCACTCCCCCCATCTCAGAGAGGGGGATGTATAGGCCTACCCCCATCTCCCCTGAGAATTTGGGAAAGAGTAAAGCTGAAAATGTTCCTAATAGATTATCTGATGGATTGAACAATGAAGTAAATTGGCCTTATAATCCAAACTCGACTTTTTGCTTTTCAATTATCAATTCTGCGCATGGGCTGCGAGTTTTCAAGGGTTGTCCTGATGTCTTTTTAAATCTTACATGTTTGTAAACTTGTACGATTATCACAAACCCTTAATACATGAAGAATAAATGCTCTTATCTCGCCGCCGTAGGCATCTGTAACCTCCACCCCCTCAGAGTGTTTACCCCAATTTTGGCGACCCATCCCACCAATGTTCCCGCTTTACATTCACGAAACATCAAAAGGGTGCTTTCGCATTATGTAGGCCCTCGACTCTTCACCCCGACCGTCGTAGTGCTCACACCAGCTGCAAGACGCGACGAACGGCTGTGAGATTGGCCGAAAAAGGTGCCCGGAAAAAGATGAGTCCCGTGAAAATTCCACCCACCGTACGAACCATGGAAGTTTCCAGCTAAAACATTTAGTTTTTCTGTTGAAAGAGAAAGAGAGAGGTGTGGTAGAAAACCAATACTTGTCTTTACTGGGCAGTTAAATACCCACACAGTTTTCCGGAGCTGTTACCGAAGGCTTAACACGTTTCAACAACTCCCCGGGCAAAGATCATCTCCAAATCAACAGGAATATTACTCCAGCGCTGCCGAGAAAAGATGAATCATTAACCAATGTATATTGATTTTCTTTGAACATATTCGTGCATCCCATACCCCAAAAATAGGCGATGAGGGGTTTGAACAGTATGGGACGCGAGTTAATTCATCCCCCCCGGTACTTCAGCTCAAGTGCACGGTAGCAGTTGTTAGACGCACACGGCTGCTCGCGCCGGGATCTCGCGGGATAATTAGCACAGGGTTGAAGTGGTTCGGTGAAAAAAAAGTTTCACAGGGGCCTGCCAATTCTGTTGATTGCTACGCTATTAAACATTCATTTAAAAAAACTGGAGGAGTGGGAAATTCACGTCATGGTGTAGCAGCGTCTACCATTAAACTATTCCAAATGGTCATTAAGACCGACGTGGAGTGGAAAGATCCATGCACTTGTTCCGTGAGTATTACTAATCTGAAGATGAGAACCAATATTTCGTGAAAATTTTGCACAAATATTCCTTCGATACAACACTGAAAACAATTGCAGGGCTTTTAGGGTACGCAAGGTAGGGTTTAAACTTTGGCAGCCTTCCAGAATTTTACCGTTTAAAATAGAAATATCATTCAATGAATAAACTTGTCTTGCCTTTAGAAGAAGTTTTGCAAGAATGTTGGCGTAGGGATTTAATGTTGATCCACATATGTGCTGGCGCAAAACGTCTGTCACAATGCTTATAATTGTAGCTAATGTCAATCAAAATCGAAAAAAAGTTTCTCGTCGGGTAGTTTTATATGAGAGAGAGGAGGGCCAGGACCCACTGTTCTCTTTTACGGATTTTTCCAAGTTAAGTGGATATATTTGTGTGGTCTATATTACCAACATTGTCTCAACGAGCTTTCATCACCCAATCCAACAGATTTCTAGAAACAATCAATACGTCAAAATTTGCTGGCAAAACAATTTGGGAAAGTGCCCGGGTACGAAACGCTGATCCATTTTTGCCGAAGTTTTGCTTTTATCAGTGTATTTCTATTCCATATGATTTTGTTTTTGCTCGCAATCAACCGCGTAATAAGTTTTAAGATCTGGAGGCTCTGTCTCATTTTCCTATTTTCAGCGCGGCTGTCCTCTCTGTTCCTCGTGGTTACCACAGCGCATGCGGCCTTTAATATGTACGTGTATTTGGTAGACCACCAATACAGAAAATCGTTTACCCCGTGTCAATGACCGTCAACCGGTCACGCCCTCTCGAAGGGACAACCGGTCTGTGGGGACTTCCACACACCAGATGTTGACGGGGCCAGGGAGGGCATACAGTCTAATTACTCTGCGTTTGAGACTATTTGCTCCGAGCGGAACAAAAGAGGGCGTGTTTTGTTTTGTTTTGTTTTGTTTTGTTTTGTTTTGTTTTGTTTTGAGGCGCGCAAGAATAATACGCGTTTGACGCGGAGCACGCTGAGTACGCATAATTTACTCCGGCATGTACGGTCTTTGCTTACACGCAGAACGTGTGCAAGAACCTGCTTGTAACCACCCGTCTTTCTTTTCAACGATTGGGGGTGCACTTCAGCTGGGAGTGGATACCGCTGAAATTCCCGAACAAATCCCATGGTTGCTTAGAACCGGAACCGCCAACTTCTCTCGCTCAGGAATGGTCCAGAGCTCTTTCAAGGTAAGCAAGAAAGCTATGTTTATAAGACTACATGTACATGAATATAGTCATTGCTTTTAGGTAAACTACTGTTGACTTCAATGCTTAATTTTGGTAATTAATATGTCATATAAACGAATTAAGACTCAACGTGTTGCATTTTATTGCGGTGTGTTTTATTTAGAACAAAGGAAGCAGCCACAAGTGGTTAGAAAAATATAAGCTTGTAGTATACCGATAATTTGTGTCTGTTACTGTGTGAATTTGCGCAGACCCGGCAGTGAGGTATTTAAAAATTCATGTCCCAGAGCTGTGAACGAAAGCGCGCCATACGGTGATCACAGTATCACGCGCGCTGTTCTCGTGCTAAATCTAGTGAGACCAGCATCACACAATAGGAGGGAAATCTTATGAATAATTCTACGATCGAACATGAGAGCTGTTTTAAAATTTAACAAGGATCGGTGCTCTAAAACTTTTACACATGTCACAGCTGTATAAACAGTTCCTTTCCAATGAGATTAATCAATATAATTTAAACACTTCGGCCGGTATAAAAACACTGTAAGAACTTTTGAAATAAAACAAAAATCACACACAAGGAATTGACAAGGTCTGATAAACGTTAACCATTGCCGCCGAAATTGTTTGTGTGTTAATCGTTATAATTCAAAGCATTCGTATAATTATATTGCTGGGGCTTCCGCGTACAGACAATAAGCACAAAGTGGAAGGGTGCATTTAAAAGTTGAAGAAACGTTTATACCGAGGACTTCAGTCTCCGCCGCCCATTAAAACTTCGGTTTCCTGGCCCACCTTCGGAATTTAAAGACTAGGCCGAATAATTGCTTGATAAAAGGTTCTCTTCAATCGTCACGGGGTGGCAGACCAAGGCGTCGCGTGCCAGGCATCGAGCACCTCCTCCACGCGACCCCGCTGCGACCCGCACACAACGGGGTCAGTGCATGGGCACCCCCCTCGCACCATTACGGTCCTAATTGCACCACTGAGAACGGGTTGTTGGACACGTTGAGAATGTGGAAGTTTCTGGGGAAAGTGTGGTGCTGTTATTCTTTTTCAACAGTGCGGAATTTATATCAAAGCTGGGACCGTAGTTTGAGAAATTCAGTTGAAATGGCAGAATCTCTTGTCTGTGCAGACTTACGATTGATGTGGAGAAAAAAAATAGCTTTGCATAAACAGCCGGGTTATATTTGCGTGACGTTCGTATGCCAGTCAGAAGCAATATGATATGACTGTTAAGAAAGAAGACAAACCCAAAACTAGAACAAAGCAAGCACAGAAACAAATAATTAAACTTGATTCGTGCCACTGAAAATAAATAAAAAGTGAAGTATTTTGAAACTTTCACCGAGGATTTCAACCTGTGGCCACCAACTATTCACATTGTACCTTGACGTATAACTTTTTTAAGTGAAGCAAGGCAGTCTGAAAAGCTGCAGTTGTATTTCGTGGGTGAAATTGCTGATTCGAGAAAGCTGCAGCCCAACGGAACGTGTAACTCCATCGGCATAAGCTATCTAATACATGACCTTGTCTGGCCAGGGCTGTACCCCCCCCCCTTCGTTGTACGGATCATACGGGAACGGTGATGAATTTTACAGCCGCACAACCTTGAAAGCGACCACGTACGAGTGCGGTTACTTCTACACGATTTTGGAACCAACTTTTGAATTTTGTGACTGTACATTTTCAAGAAGTAAGGGAAGAGCTAATTGTGGAACAATCATTGCGTTCCCGCAGAAAAGAGGGCTGGGGGAATAGGCCCAGTGGAAGTTCTGATCGTTTTGTTATGTTTCGCGTTCTTTTTTAGAGGTTGGAGATGACTTTGCCACAAGTATATATAGATTGTACATGTATATGCTCGAGTTGCGTGTTTGAAATGGCTTCCAACTTAAAAGCCAGGGCTATGTCTATTACATTTGTTGTATCTAAAGCCGTCGAAGACATATGCATTTCCTTTTGTGTCACTGAGAATGAGTCCTCATCTTGAGCCCTGTTGAACTGGAGGATACATTCGCCGTGGGTTTTTATCATGTGATTATTATCGAGGGAGAAATGAACTCTCACAGGAAAAGTTCAACCCACCTCCCGTTATTTCTATAAATCTCTCGCGTGGAAAATCGTCGGGACACGTTCAGCTGACTGGAATTACAGAGTAAAAGTGGAACACTAAGCCCCCCCCCAACGTCTGTCGCTCTCTAAACTATTTCAAAGAATGTTGTAATCATGGGCAAATTCGGGGAAAGGATTCTTCCTTTTTCAAGTTTTATTCAAAACGGCAAACTGTCAACCAAATTGGGCGAGAGTGGTTATTAACACGGAGTATCGACACCCAGTGAGAGGAACTGTTAACATCGTGCACTGAGTATAAGTTCCTCTTTGCTCACCTTTGTACTGTAAAAAAAATTCATTGTGATCCTGTAGAGTGCTTTTAGAGTGGCGTATCCGGTTTAGGATTACGTCCAATTAAGGTCAGTTTGGGGGGAAATGATGAATGTCAATTCACGCGTAGTTTAGACGGTTACAACAATCCATCTGGCCGGCGGTCTATTTTGAAACGACTTCCAACAATTCATATCTCAGCGCACACAATGCGCTTCCAATCTTTCTGCAGAGATTGTCCAAGTACCTCCATCGCGCTCACGCTTGGCAAACCCTGCAATCTGCATGACGACTTCTGTCATTCATCGACGGGATTTCTGTTCGGGGGGGGAAATCCAAGACAATGATCCCAAAGCAAGCAACGCAGTTCGAGATATTTGTCCAAGCGATCGGGCTTCCGCCATGATCTCCCTCAGATCGAAGCGAAAAGGAGAGCTTATTTTATGACGCGGTTACGAGCTATTAAATTGAAGTGGTCGTGGGCGTTACCTAATCCACCTGTTTCAACGGCAAAGTGAAGGCTGGTCATTGTTTCCGTGTGTTTGTTTGAGGCAGGTAAACCTGTCTGTATCTCTAACATTAAATCTCAATTGTCTCGGCCACTGAAATTAAATTACATTGTTAACATTCAGGGAGCGCTTGGGGTTTTGTGGCGTCTTTCGTCGAGTGGTCTGCGACGGTTGTGATTGTAGTTTCGCAGCGAGACAAGACACTCACTGTCCAGCTTAATGTGTAAAACATTCAATGACAGCAGCAATCGTCTGTAGTTTCTCACGGGCGTGCAGAAAGGATCGCTTAAAAACTTCAAGCAAAATTCAGAATCCACGTGTTTTGACCAGTTCTCGAGTAGCTATATCCTTTCCTTCCAAGTTATGTATTCTGAGGAAGTTGGCACCATCCAAGGTCTTACAAGTCCAAAGATAGTGTTCTGAAGCGTGGCTACGATAGGCGAGGTAGGCCAATAACTGCTCCGTCTGCCTTTAAGCGAAACTCCTGGAGATTACTATTATTTTGAATACACAAAGAGTAAACTTTAATGGCTGATAAGTGGGATAATTGAAAAGAGGCGTAATATCCGGAAGAAAAGAGAACTTCAAACACTTTCCCTGTGAGGGCTAAAGGGTCCTTTATATAGGCCTATCCGTGTGAAGGCGCAGTGAAAAATGTTGTTTATTTTATCTCTGAAGCCCAATGATGGGGGGGTTCGCTGTTGATGAAATCTGGGCCAACTATAGGCGGTGCCGGTCAGACATCGGGCAAGTGTCTCGAGTCGATTTCTTTGCATCTGTTTTCCCTGGACACATGTAACATGGTGGTAACATGATGGTAGCAAGCTCCCGTAAGTTGCATAATCTCGTAAAACCCACAGACGCCTGTAATATTTCTTTTCTGCTCTATAGTTCGAAATTACAAGTGTATTGTCCAGCGGCAGTGCATTGTGTAATGCTGGAGAAAGAACCCGTGATGAAAAAAATGTCCGCGCCACGATGACTGTTTCAATTTATGGTATAGACCTTGTGAACAGGGTGGCCTTTGTCACTTCGCACAAGGTCACCGGTTTAAAATTTACTGCATAAACGGACCGACGCTAATGGGCTGGGGTTCATACATGTAATCACAAACATATATTTATTGCTTGAAGATCTAAATACACTGAGGGGGGGTCACTGTGTAGCGGAACCAGAGGGGACGGGACTTCGGAAGTTTCCCCAAGCTTCTTCTCAACTGGGCTATTCAAATACGTTGTGGATAGAAATGGTCACCCAAACTGTGCCACGCACCACTCGTTTCCCGAGTTCACCTCTATTTCGGGACGCCTCCTGTTTGTAAATGCCGCTCCCTAGTCCCCCAACATACACATTCCAAACGTTGGGTGAAAATCCTGAAAATGGATCTGCCACTGGTTTCATTTCTCCCTGTACTTTGTTTGCCTCTCAAACAGTTTACAAACCGAAAGCGAAAGAAAAAAAAAACGCTTCCGCTAGTTTGAGTATGCCGCGGTGCTTATTACCTCGATCAAAAATGTGAAAATCGTGTGTGCAATATAATGTAGTTTATCTGGTCCCGGCCGCTTTCTGTATTTACGCTGTGTTTGGATAAAACTGAAACACGCGCATAAACAAAGCCACGTCTTTCAATTTTGAATAACATGACGAAATACAAGGATATACGGGTCACAATTTTTTATCGCATCTATAACTTTTTTTAAATCCAGAAATTCGACTGTTCACCCATCATTCTAAAATGATTCGTAACAATTTCTCAAAATAAAAAAAATGAATTTTTAAGATATTCAAAATTTGTGAGCGGAATGAATGATACGCAAGTAAAATGAGGAAGACTGACGTTCGAGCTTCCTCCGTAGGCTAACCAGGAAGTTCCAACGCCTCTTCCTCGCAGGGGGGACAGTAACCGAGACAAGGCGGTCGTTAATCTGTCTTAGTTCTGCTCTTGCGGTTTGATTCATGGCCATGGCACTAGTATGGGCCTCGTGAACATTAATGTTACCAACATAAAAGGTATAAATTTGGCGGTACTTTATGTCAAGATCAGACCCCACGTGACCCCGTTGGCATACCGATTCATCCAACTTTGTCGTTTACCATTCTCCACTC